ACAGCAGAAAGCACAGGAATCAGATGTCAATGTATTCCTCCAAGATACCCTGCTAGGATGGAGCTAACTAACCAGGGCGTTAGTCGTCTCTTGGGGAACATGCTTTGATGGTTCCCTGCCCACTCCTGGCTTCCTATATGCTTCCTGATTAAAATACTGTCACAGATAAATCACAACTTCCGTTTGTTAGAGCCATTTCTTTCTTGCTTGCTGTTTTACAGGAAAAGTTTGGAACAAGGTTTAAAAGATGAGCACGTTCCAAAGAAATATTATATATACTCATATAAACACTAGTTTATAAATGTGTCCCATCTAACTGTCCATGGATCTGGGACTGTCTTCTGCATGCGTCTACCCACCTGGCACATTGTGAGAGCTAAAAATGCCTCAGTTCCATACTCTCTTTCTTCACTTGAGCTAGAATCAGCCAGCCTCTCTGGTTTACAATACATACGATAAAGAGGGCCCACACATTGTTTTTCTACTTTACTTAGATATTTTTATATATTTTCAGGCAGTCGCTTTTGGTCAATCACTAGATTACTTAGGTAACATCCTAATAAATACATTTTGGAGAAGGATGAGTTCCTTGTGATTTTTCCTGAACATAGTCACAAGTTATAAGAAATTGAAGTTATTCCAGAAATGAGACTTGATTTTAAATGCAATAGATGTTTAAATGTACCAGTGTGGGTTTCCATCTGGGCACACAGATAAACAGCCCTTCAGGCACTGAGAGTGGCAGTCATTTCTACCCCTTGCTTGGAGGAGAGGTGAAATGCAGCAAACAGGACCACAAGCAGAAGGTGCTTATCTATTTTGATATTTGACAAGCACAACCCTTTAAAACCATGAAGTAAAGCTGAATTACACAATGAAAGTCAATGAAGTCAGAAAGCTGTACTAAATCTACTATGTTTATATCTGCAGCCCAGCTGCATGTCCACCTGGCCAACCAACCCCTGTGCACTGTGCACTGCAGTCTCCAGCTGTGGTGGCCCTTGGTTAGCTTCCACTTTCTCTGGACTCCATCTCTCTACCCTGCTCCATGTGCAGGAGGACTCCAGCTCTCTCTAAGACTCTCAGGCTCAGGCTCTTTATGAAGTTTCTTGCCATCCAAGATTTCCCCACCTTGAAATCAGGACCTTGACCATAAGAGGAGATATTCTTTGTCTTAACATGTACTATTCTGTATCCCTTTGTCATATACTCCGGCCAATTTAGCAAGGGTGAACTGGATTTGCATGCTTTATATTTTGACTACATCATTTTGAACCAATTACATTAGGCATTTCTGCTACCTGCTTACTTCTCCATTTGCCTTCTATTTTCTGTTATTGTGTTTGTATGTTCAATATCCAAAACTAGCCTTTCAGCAACGACCTGAGTGACTTCAGATGATTTATCTCAGTGGCAAGAGTCATTTCAGTGAGTTTCCTTGCTTGTCATTTCTTCAAAGTTTTGTCTTTCCACTAATAGCTATCCTTGCCCACGGACTGATTCCATTTCATTTCTGGAGCACAACAGTTAATGTGCAGTTACCCAGTTAAATAGGTGGTTGGGGGAAACCTTAATGTATGAGAAAAAACAAAACAGGGATCCTCAGAGAGGATACTTAGACTCATTCTACATAGCTTCAGTTGAGGGACCTTTGAAAGGTTTCTTTCAAAGGCTTGTGAAGAATTTATAAATTAAATCACCAGATTTGGATCCAGCTTTGTGGTGCAGTGGTAATACACGGCCAAGAAAAGCTGGACCTCACTTGGCAACTACAGTTTTGTATCCTTGACTGCTCAGTTTGAAATACAGTAGGCAAGCACCTGAGAACACAAGATCTATCAGGCTGGAGGACAGAGGAAGGGGATTGTGGTATTGAGGTAGTAGATAGAACCCTAAGAAATAGGTAGTCAGGACACAAGGCCCAAAGATGGAGGCACAGTAGTCAAGTTTGCACTAGGAACTGCTCGCTCACAAGAAATGGCTTGCAGCAATGACTTAATGATTAACCCAGATAGCTTTTTTCATGTTCCCACTACATTCTGGAACCTAGGTAATAGGTTTTAGGGCCCAAAGGTCTTGAACAAAGACTCAAGCAAGCATTGACCACTAAATAATTGTCTCTGGGCTGAAGCTCTGACTTGGCAATAATTTATCAGAAATTATCTAAATGTATAGCTCCCTAAATGTACAGAATAATATATCTAACATGTGACCCCCATGGGGATAGAAAGCAAACAAGTCCTTCTTGGCTAGGATAAAAATCCCTGGGAAGAGTCCCAAGTAGGCAACCTATTTTCTGGGTGCCCTCCCTGCTTCCTGGGTGTTGTTTTTAATTTTTCAATGAACTCTGTTTTTCTATCCCCTCTCTGTGTCTCTAATTCTTTGTTAGTACAAAACAAAGAATAGAGTTCATTGCTGTTTCTACACTGTGTATTGGACCCACCAACATCAATATCCCATGTCAGCATGACTAGACCCAGTGGAGGGTGCTTTCTCTCTCTTTCTTTTAGGTGTGCAGGCATGTAGTCTATCATGAACAATAAAAAAAAAAGGGAGAAATTGTAAGATTTTAAAAGTTAGTGGTAAAAAGTCAAAAAAGGGCAAGATTTTCATCTTTGGTTAAATGAGAAGATAGAGCAGCAGTATAAATATAGTTCCTTCCACATCCCTCTTTAGACTGCCTCTCCCTAGTTCGTTAAATAATGAGAAAAAAATGGTGGAAAAAATTCCCATCAGGGGTGGAGTGGGGCAGTAGAAAGGCTACTGCACCAAAGCAAAGATCATGGATAAGCAGGATATAGCTCTCATTTGGTGCAAGTACCACTTAACCTTTCTACATGTTCATTTCCTGCAGAGGAAATTAGCAGTTTATCTAACCTCACAGGTAAGTAGTAAAGTAAAACAAATGTGAAAAATCAGGATGATATATACATGAGGTACTCTTACTCTCTAAATTCTAGAAACTACTACTTTCAGTTTGAATTTAACTGACTTCCTTTTTAATCTGAAGATTTCAAAATATAGTAGGATGTAGAAAATAAGTCCAAACAATTATGAATCAATAATGAAACAATAAAATTAACATGCAAAAGGAGTTCTTTCCAGGATTTATAGTAACTGTCACATAGGAAGAGTATGTAGACTTTGGGTTCACTCCAAAGTAGTTTCACAAACTACTATCCAAAATTAATCAGCCTCACAAATGCATGTCTTCATCCTCCTAAGCTTTACCTACAGTAAAAAAGTTTGATAATTGTGGGAATAATGTATTCATCCCATTTTTTCCTTGTGTGCACAAGAAGCTGAATAACATTAAAAACTAATTCAAAGTGGGTAGTCAAGGTTAATTTAGCAAAGCAAGATCTACCTGACCCAACAGCTGTGGGCTTTACCCATGGGGGCCTAGCTTAATCAGAGACATCGAAGATGGGAGGAGTAGACAAGAAGAAAAGAGAGTTGAAGATCCCCGTATAATAAGGTGTATATCATCCTTCATTGTTTTTATCCAATATTTTATTATTATTTAATAAACTAAATAATGAAAAACCTTATGCCCCATTGACAATAAAAACGACTAATTCTAGATCACTTAATAACTCAATTTGGGGCCAGCGGGTGGCATGGTGCTTCAGGTGGCTGGATGCTGCATGGCAACTCTGTGGTTCTAGTCCTGGACCTACAGGTTGATAATCATGCTAGTTGTGTGTGTGTGTGCCCAAAATTCTGAGAGAGGAATAGAGGAGAAGTGATTTCAGTGTGCCCATCTTACCTGGGAGGTTATTTCTCACTTTCCCTCTTTGCCTCTCTCTGGTGAGTACATATGTCCTATAGCAAAACAAAAACCTCGATATGGCTGATGGCTGATTTTCTGCTATTATGTATAACATCAAACCAAAAAATGAATATGCTTTTGTTATTTTAGTTATTAAAAATTACATTTTCATCTTTAAGACACTATCCCAGTTTTTTTTTTTTTCCCAGGATATTAGGACATGGCTTAGCAGTTCCTGAAAATGCTGAAAACAAACCGTAGATAGGTTGAAACTTAATGGTTGTGAAGCTCTTAAAAAACAATACTGCATTTTTAATGGAGTTTCATAGAGTGAGAAACTAAAGAGGTTTTGCTTTCCTTGCAGGCTTCTCACTTTGAAGTTAGAAAAGCAGCTCAGTTTGATTGAGCTAGGTGGGGGTAAAGATCTGCCCAGTTTTACATGTGAAAGCAAATGCTTAGAAGGAGAGTTAAAAGCCAGTGTACACCAAATTCTTAGTGCTGACAGATGCCAACCCTAATCTGTACTCAAACAATGGAGAGTGAACCGTTTGAAGCCAACACTCATCTACTTGCCAGGAGCAGGGTCCAGCATGCCAGGAGGCAGAGCGAGAAATCATTAGTGCATCTTACTCAGAATTCACTGATTGGGATTTGTAACATTCATCTCAGAGACAGGCAGGTTTTGGAGATGGAAGGTGCTTTACAATTACCTCTGGCCCAGGTCATGGGGTTAGAGCAGAAAGCCATCCCTCATGATATTAATAAAGTAAAAGAAATATTGTAGAAGATTAAAAGAGATTTCCATGGTCAAATGTATTTGAGCTATTCGGTGAGGATCAAGGTTAAATATGTTTCTTTTGTGCAAAACTCTGAGCCATTGATATTTCAATGTGCATGGGAGAGTCCTTAGTAATTGGACCTGTGAGCTCTTTTTCAAGAGATAACTATTAAACAATGACTGGATACTTGTGTTTCATGGGATACAGTTTGAGAAATTCCGAGACAAAATATAATAATGTCATGTTGGTTTACAGATGGAGAAGCCCATGGAGATTATGTCCTTGAAGGTGGTGGGCAACTCAAGTCTACAGCTTGCTAGTACCAACTCCCTAGGGACCGGAGTTCCCAGCAATGTAGATAGCCTGGAAGGGTCTCCTAAAATTAATGCCTTACATACACTCTTTTCTGGTTCAGTCTGGAAATTTGGGCCCTCGTAAATCAAGATTACCTGATACAAAGGCATGCAGATGCTGTCAATCCACTCCAGTTGCAACCGAGGCAGTTCATCTTTCCGGTTCCGATCAAAAATAGCCTAGAATAGGGGAGGAGAACCTTCTTTATTACACTGGAGTATTTTACAGGTGCTTTGTCAGACACTTTGCCACAATGGTCCAATTTTTACCAACTGAACACTTCACAAATCACAATCAATCTTGCACGCACTTTCTTTTCCTTTATCTAGGATAAGAAATAAAGTATTTTCACCTCTTTTTATGAGATTTGTAAGTGAATTTATTTGAACTTTATAGCACACAACTCCTTGGGGCCAAAATCTGTCTTCAGATATAGGTAACTGCTACTAAATCAAGTCATCAGGTCACTGAGAATTGGGTACAAGTCAAGGGGAAGGAGATATGGTTTATAGCCACAAAAATAATGCAGGCTTTTATTTCTATAGTGAGAGGATGAGATAGAATGGGAAAAGATTTTTAAAAGAATTTTATTTTAAATAAAAAACATTTATGTTAAATTTTCAGTGTAGACTATTGGTTTGAAAATTGTATCTATTTGAAGAAGGTTATGTCCTTAATACATTCCTAAATATTTATCTGTTTTGAATGGATACTGGTAAGAGGCACCAATTCTCTCTTCATTCCCAGTATTTAGACTTTATTTATTTATTTATTTGGAGAGGTTTTATGCTATAGGGCACATGTGCTCGCCAGAAAGACAGAGACAGAGAGACAGAAAGCGAGAAATCACCCCCAGGGGGGATGGCCATGCTGCAATCCTGTCACCTCCATTCTCCTCTCAGGATCTTGGGCACGCATGCACACGCACTCAGCATTGAGTTTAAGCCACCGGGTCCAGGACTCGAACTGCGATTGACTACATGGGAGTCCAGTGACATAGCCATTACGCTAACTGCTGGCTCTGCCAGTATTTAGATTTTATGATGTTGAAAATAATTTCAGTATATTAAAAAAAAATAAGTGACATATTTCTGCTGGAAAGATTGAAAAAAAATCAGAATTAAAGGGTTAAAATGTATTTCTTGAATAAGCATCTTCAGTTCTACTCCAGTGAGAATGTACTGTCCTCTGTTCTTAGGAAGGCCAGGGACTAAGAAGCTACCTCATGCTCTTGCTTCTCTAGAAGACTGGGCTGCCTATCTACAACATGCCTTGACAGTAGGGCAACTACTCCTGTCCTTGTTTAGAGTAGATTTTTTTCTTTCCTCTACATAAAATGTGGCATCCATATCATTTTGCTGTCTTTATAGGTTATGAGGACAGATTCAAGTCATCTCCTTGGTCCAGAGAGGTTGGAGAAGCCTATATCCTTCAGACTTATGAGTGAAAATGGGAACATGTGGGGAAGAAATCATTAATTGCCAAATCTGGGGAATCTATTTTCCAATTAGGGAGAAGGTCACTGAGTCCCACAGGCTCTGCTCATGCTTGCCTTGCAACATGAAATGTGAAGTATCAGGGAAGAAGACTGGAATTCAGAGAAGACTGTGAAATACGCTGGACAAAGAGAGAGTTCTTGTGAACTACATGAATCTTGGTCCCAGATGTTCCTTTAGTAAATGTTACTCTATTTTATTTTATTTTATTTTATTTTATTTTATTTTATTTTATTTATATTTATTTATAGCTCTCTTAAATTTTCTAATTTATTGAATTACTCTATTTTTAGTAATATATAGTTACTTCTTTTCTTAAAAAAATGTTTTAGTCTATTCATAGAGTTGCACAGCCATCAACACCATCAATTTTAGAACATTTTTATTGCCTCCTCCCTGCGGATCTGCCTGTTCCGTACATTTCATTTATTTATTTATTTAGAGAGTTTTTGTTTTTGTTTTTTTTTTTTCCTGTAGTGTATGCCCGCCAGAAAGACAGAGAGACAGAAATTGCAAAATCACCCCCTAGGGGGTATGGCCATGCTGCAATCCCTTCTCCTCCATTCTCCTCTCAGGATCTTGGGCACGCTCGGACACACACCTGGAATGAGTTTAAGCCACCGAGTCCAGGACTTGAACTGCAGTCGACTACATGGGAGTCCAGTGACATAGCCATTATGCCAACTGCTGGTCTCTCTTCCATACATTTTATATAAATGGAATCATATGATATGTGATTTTTCATGACTGGCTTCTTTCACTTAGCATATTGTTCTCAAGGTTTATCCATGTAACATGCCTTGGCCCTTTGTTCATTTTTATTGCCAGATGATCTTCCGTTGTATATCATATTTTATTTGTTCATTTATCAGTTAGATTGATACTTGCATTGTTTCTACCTTTTGGTTATTATAAATAACGCTGCTATAAACATTTTTGTACAAGTTTTTCTTCTTGGAGATATACCTAGAGGTGGAATTTCTGGGTTATATGGTAACTCTTTGTTTAAATTTTTGAGGAATTGCTAAACTGTTTATCAAAGTAGCTCCACCATTTTGTATTCTCACCATCAAAATATAAAGTTTCAGGGACCAGCAGAGGGCACAACAGTTAGATTGCTGGATTCCCACATTGCAGTTTGAGTCCCGGACCTGGTGGCTTGAAATGCATGTGGGGCACGTGTGCATGATGCCCAAGATTCTCGGGGAAGAATAGAGGAGAAGGGATTGCAGTGTGGCCATCCTACCTGAGTAGTGATTTCTCACTTTCCCTCTCACTGTCACTGTCTCTCTTTCTGGCGACTTCATGTGCCCTAAGGCAAAAACGTCTTAAAAAATGTATCTATATATGTATATATATGAAGTTCCATTTCTTTGCAGCCTCACTAATACGTGTTATTCTCTGTCTTTGTGGTATAACTATTTAAAAATAATTATTTATTTTGTTTTGTTTATTATTATTATTATTTTAATATGGTGTAGAGCATGTGTACTCACCAAAGAGAGACAGAGAAAGTGAAAAAGAAAGCCTTCATGTTCAGGACTTTTGGCCATGTGGGAGTCCAGTGCCTTAGTCACCACACTGCCTGCTGGCTTCAATTATTGCTTTCTAAATGGGTATGCAGTGGTGGTTTCAATTTGCATGTCCCTGATTACTAATGATTTTAAGCATCTTTTCATGTGATTACTGACCATTTATATGTCTTCTCTGGAGGTATATCTATTAAGATCCTTTGTCCACTTTAGAAATTGAGTTGTCTTTCTATTGTTAAGTTATAATGATTCTTTCATATTCTGGACACCAGGCCCACATCAGATAGTTGAAAATGATAAATTCGCAAGTAATTTTTCCCATTCTGTGGATTGTCTTTTCACTTTCTTCATAGTGTCCTTTGCTATAAAAGTTTTGAATTCAGGTAAAGACAAATTTAATTTTGATGAAGTCCAACTTAAAACTTCTGGGTAATTTTACTTTTTGCCCCTTGTATTTTTGATATCATATCTAAGACACTATGGCTAAACCCAATGCAGAATATTTGTACCTATGTTTTCTCTTAGAGTTTTATAGTTTTACTTCTTCTGTTTAGGCTTCTGATCCATTTTGAACTTACTCAAAGGTATAGTGAGAGGCGGAGGAGGGTCAATTTCATTCTTTTGCCTATGGATATCCAGTTATCGCTCAACTACTTGTTGAAAGGACTGTTTTTCCTTCATTGGATTGTCTTGGGACCCATGTTGAAAATCAGTTGACCATAACTGTAAGGGTTTTTTTCTGGACTAGTCACTTCCTAATATTTGATGAGAGAAAAATGAGTATGAGATAACATATTGTCCTGTGCTTTTGCTTTACTGCATTTTGAAATTGAGTATTATATTATTTTTTTGATGTCTGTATTTCATACCAGTTGATGAAGTCTTTAAGGAATTGGTGTCTTGCTCATTGCTGGACACACTGTGCTTAGCTCCATACTTGACACATGAAGGTACTCATGCGTGTGTTATTAACTGACTCCCTGCTTCTAGTATTAATCCTCTGGCTGTGGTCTAGACTAGCCTTTGCCTTCACAAAGTTATTCTGATCACTTCTAGAATCATGGCACCTCAATGTCAAGGGATGAGGGACAGAACAGGTATCAGCTCTGTGTGGATGCATTTCCAGAACTTGCTGGGAAAGGACTAATGGGGGATAGCCCTACCACAGCGGCCAGGTTTCTCCTGGGAAGGCAGTATTAATAGGCTTCTGTGAGGAGAAAGAAGAATGTAAAGGTATGTTTCCACCACAAAACCAGTTTCATTTATGAAAGTGCTTTACCTAAGCCTACAGAGAAAGGCTCCTCAGTGCTGCATCACTGCACCTGCCAGCCCACTGATGTTGGCAATTTACCCGCATTTTTTTCCATTTGATTAAGTGATCTGTGGTATCATGACACTATAAACCCTTCAGAGTATGTCTCTGAAACAGCTTTTAAAATGGAGAAAGAACTTTATTTGATGTGGATAGGTAGCTGAGAGAAATTGGGTTATACTACGTTGTACATATTAACCATATGTATTTCTTTTTTGTTTGTTTTTCATTTGTTTTTATTTTATTTTATTTTATTATTTTTATTATCCGTTACAAACCTTTGTGTGTAGGGCTGACTCTCAATAGATTGCTGCGAGGGAGCTGCTCTGCTACGTACGAAACCCCGACCCAGAAGCAGGTCGTCTACGAATAATTTAGCACCAGGTTTCCCCACGAAGGTGCGTTCCGTGACGGGCAAGGGAGCGGTCCCCTTTCTGGCCGCGTCCCGGCTCCCGAGACGAAGGGCTCTCATATTTCAATCTAACATATTTTTATGACCATTTTGGTGGTGATTTAGAAAACTGCCTTGAAAAATTAAAATAATTGGTATGTGTTTCAACCTACGTAGTCTTTTGACCTTTTATATATTAGCAACTGATTAAAGAGTGAAAACTAATGAGACTGAGTTCAAATTTTAAACAGGTTGAACCACTCAAATTAGAAGCTAATTCTGCTGCTTTACTTTTAAATGTCAGCAAAGAAGAGTGTCTAATACCTTCAAATGTTCAAGATTCAGGTGACCTGAATTCTCACAAACATACATTCTTGACAATTGATAACGTTTCTTGAGCTTATTGAAACTACTGGCTTTAAAACACTCTGTACCACTCTCAGAGTCATTGGGTTATATGCTTTAAGCTATAATCATTCACTAGGAATCAAGTCTGCCCCTCCTTGAGGGTGGTGATTGAGGCATTTATGTCCCCTGTATCCTGAAGCATAACACAGCCTCATCTCAAGCTACAGGAAGCACTCTCAAATAATAATTGAATGGGTGAGTTCAATGTGCACAGCATTCCAGTCACCAGAACCTATTTGCAAACAAAGAAAAGAAACTGATTTGAAATGATTTGCTTTTGGGGTTTTGAAAAGTTCAAAACTCAAAAATAAAGCCTAGCTCCTGAAGGCTGGTCAGCTTGCCTTTTAATTTTTGCTGTATTTCTGTTCCAAAGTAGGCATTTAAGAAATGCCAGCCCTGGGCTTTAAATGATTCAAATTCTACTTTGCACATCCTCCCTCGTGCCTACTTGGGTGCTCAGGAAATGCTTATTAAGTAGCTCACCACTCTTAATCAGAGACCTGGGAATAAGAGTCTTTAGCATTTAAGTTTAATTAAAGTTTTAAACTTTTAGGAGTGCTTTCTCAAATCCATCCTCACTCTTTCTCATCTTAAAGTCATGAATTAGAGTTATTTTTGAAAATGTCATTTAAAAGGGTAAATAAGTGATAATTAAAGGATAAACTTACAGAAGGAGTGAGTTTGAGTTCCGATCTCTCCCGATCTCCTTGTTCAAAGAATTCACTAGTTACAAGTTCAGCCACCTGAAACATACAAATATTGTAACTTACGGTTAAGTATAGTTTATAATGAGACTCTGAAGTTGTTTCTGGCTACATAGTAATTATCTTCAACATTAGCAATCATTTAAAAAGCTTATGTGGATGTACATTAACCTTTTGCATCTGAAGATATTACAGAATTCAATGAGACTGATTTCCTTTTAATTAGGAGAATGTGTGCAATGTATCTTAAAATACATGCCAATAGATGGTCTCCCAGAGCACAGCTTTCATATTCAAGATGGGGCGCTGGGGTGCCACCTTCAAAGTAGGAAAAGTTCTTATACAGAAAATGAAGCAAATACTAATTTAATGACAATTTATATTATTACATAATGCTAATTTAGCCAACTTCGGCTTCTTTCTATGTAGATTCTTTGTTGCATACTTCTATCTTAGCCTGGCTGTTTCTTGCCACCACAAAAATTCCTTCATTTCCTCCTAACCAATATTCACATGTACTTTGGAAGGGATAACCCTGCTTCCTATTGTAGCAATCACATACGAAGCAAGACGAATGCTTATTCCCTGTTTATACCAGACTTTGACAGTATGTCATGATATAGTTTGAAAACTATGATTTGGTCTTCAGGATGTCTGACTCTATATTGAAATTTATACTAGGCTCTGGTTGGTACAACCACAATGAAATGGTTGTTCTATCCCAAACCATAGAGATCTGGATTTTTCCGTTTATTAGCTACTAATCATAGCCAAGCCAAAGACATATATTTTTTCCTTCCTGAAGCCTGCACTTCTCAGGATAGTTTGTGGGCAACTAGGAAATCTCTGCGATGAACTAGCTGTATTTACAAGGTATTGACAGGACAAGAAAAATCTCAGATAATTTAAGGGCAAAAAGTTCTAGATGCCCAAATTAACTTTTCATCTATTCCAGGCTCTTGTACAGATAAGATAATTAAGTCTGGCAAAGATGAGGTGGGTTTAATTTCGGTCAAGTACATATAATCAAGAAAATTTATATAAGTGCATCTCTCAAGAAATTTTGTCAACCATGGATCATAGATAAAATTTAAACATTGGGACCAGCAGTTGGCATAATGGTTATGTAGCTGGACTCACATGTAGCCGACTGCTGTTCGAGTCCTGGACCCACTATCTTAAACTCATGCTAGGCACATGTGCATGCATGCCCAAGATCCTGAGAGGGGAATGGAGGAGAAGGGATTGCAGTGTGGCCATCCCCCCTGGAGGGTGATTTCTTGCTTTCTGTTTCTCTGTCTCTCTCTGTCTCTCTGGTGAGCACACATGCCCTATAGCAAAAACCTCTCTCAAAAAAAAATTTAAACACAACATCAAACTCTCACACACTCATACACTTGTATGCATATGCACAAACACACACACACACATACCCGAGAGTAGCAAGTATACTGTCATTTATGAAAACAAACATAAAACAAAACCCCAGAATATTCAGTAAGTTCATATTTCCAGCACTTCCTTGAAAAACATAGGTCCCTTTCAAGAAGTCAACAACATAAAATGAGTTAGAACTGACTTTACAAATCACCTTTTCCCTAACCTCTGGTTATGACCACTTCGCTTGTAATGTTTGCCCATGTTCTAGGCCTTGATTCCCTTCTCACCTTCCAGTCTACGCTACTACGATCATTTCAGCATTCCAAGTTTCTCTCTTCTTTCTCTGGCTTTCCTATAAAGAAGAAATGGTCCCCTATAGGTCTGGCCTCTTTTATTTAGCTCCCAGAATGCTCCCTCAGATCACTCTGAAGCTGGGTCTTATGCATTAAAGAATGCAAATGTACACATTGGGCACCCCAAGATGGGAGCCCTGCATAGGTCTGTAGCCTGTGGAAAGCAAAGAAATTAAAACAAAATCCTGTCCTTGCTCTTTCTAAAGTGGTTCTGGGTGTCTCCCCTGTGCTTCTTCCACAGCTTAACTTGTACCACTGTTTTGTTTGTACTTAAAAACCCAATCAGGAACATTAAGTGGCTCCTGATTGGATTTTTTATTAAGAAGGAAATTGAGATGCTAATCAGGCCTTGGGGGATCACTGGGGAAACCCACATGCTTAGAGTCATGTTTGTGATGAAGGAAAAGTAGACTAGATTCCACTAAAAAAAAATTTTGAAAGGGAACTAAAAAAACTAAGTATGTAGGAAGTTAGAAATATATTTATATGTTTCAAAGAAGATTCCATTATCTTTCTAAATGTGTTCTAATATCAAAAAGTGAATATATTTCTTAAAATAACTTACTCAATTTGGAGAAAGACATGAAGGAGATAACCCTGAGCTGTGCCAAGATTTCTGATAGAATCATTTGGATAAACATGGTTTTGTGTTATACTTCCCTGCACTCCTTTGTTTCTGCACTTAGCAGCAGAATTGCACATCCTAAAATAAAGATATTGTTTATACCAGTGACCTAACCACTTACAATAAAGCTATGGGGCTTCTTAAGTCAACCTAAAATAACAACACGGAGACGTCTTTCCCTCCAAGTGCTTCAGTCTATTGTGTTCCTGTCCCAAGTGGTCTCCTGCTCCATTAGTTCTTTTCCCCCATATTTATGATAGAAGTTAGATACACACACTTCAGAGAGAGAGAGAGAGAGGAGAGAGGAGAGATGAACACCCTCCACAGAGAGGAGAACTTTAAAAGTTCTTGACATGCATTTCTCTGGGGTTCCTGCAGGCCCTGGCCCGTGATACCTCACTCCATCACTCCCTTTCTAGTCGTCTCTATTTTCCCCCAGCTCTCTAACTTCCTGGCGCTCTTAATCCCTTATACTCACTTTCATCCCTATCACAGCAGCCACCCACCAGTCTACACTTTCCCTAACAACCTAGAAGGGTCTCCCGTCTTTTCTCTGTAGTCTATTCTCAAACTCTACAGTAAGGATGACCTTCTTACTGCAAAGTCGTAGAAAGAAGCCCCCCAATCACACAAATTCTTCACCATTAACCTGCTTTAGATGACTTTTAGAGACCTCAGATATGTTCCACTGAAACAAAAATGGAAGCTCAATCGGAAAGCTCTACAGGAAAACCACTCAATTTGCATTGGAATATCACATGAGCAAAAAATAAGCCTTTATTTGTGTTAAACAACTGAAATTTCAGGACATAGATATTACTGCAGCAAAATCAACCTTATCCTTGACTAATTCAAAATTGGTATTGAGGCAAGGTGTTGCTGTTAAAAAATAAAAGGAAAGGAAGGAAGAAAAAAGAAAAAGAAAGAAACCCTAAAAAGGTGTTGTCAACTTAAAGGTCAGGTACTAGAGAGTGAGGAGGCTGTAGAGATAATAATCCACGTTATGCAGTGGCAGAATAATTTGTACAGGGCCCAGCAGGTGGTATAGTAGTTAAAGTGTTGGAACATGGCTGACCTGGTTCAAAGGCTTGAAACTCATGCCAGGCAGGTATGCATGCCCAAAATCCTAAAGGAGAATGGAGGAGAAGGGGTTGCAGCATGGCCATCCCGTTTGTGGGGTGATTTCTCACTTTCTGTCTCTCCATCTCTCTGGCAAGTGCATACACCCTACAGCAAAAATACTCCTCTCTAAATAATAATAATAATATATAAATATACACACATGTATATGTATGTATACACACATATACATACATATATAGACACATATATATGTATGTATACACACACATATATAGTACAATGATCACTGAAATAATATCAACAGTGTTCCAAATTAATTTGCAGTTTTAACAGAAGAGATTGATTGTGATGGTTGCTATTGACTATACTTATTACAGTGAGTTCAAAGGATCGCAAGTTTACAAGCAGGATTAAAAGAAAATAGAAAAAGTCACAAATTCAGGGATTTTTAAAAATGGAAGATGAAGGTGCTTTTCAACCCTGAACCACAAAATAAAATGAAAATTTAGATATGCTTTGAATGACAAAGATCAATTAAGACTTAGTTTTACAGCAAGAGTCAAATAAAGCACACCTATAGCTTAAGAACTCTGAATGAGTTACATGTTACACACCATATCCTTTTAGCTGGACAAAAATGGTTTGAAGAAATTATTTAATTACATAGTTTTCTTACTGAAGTCTGTTAGGCTCAAGATACTAGGAATTAATCCATGAGAAAGAAAAAAGAAAGTTAGCTATGTTTCTTTATTTCTGAATATAAGAAAGCAAAGAACTACCTAAAATCTAAGATATTTGTGTAGAAAAGGACTGTGGATATGGCTATTGCCAAATGGAAAGGACTAGAATCAAAGACATAGGAAGCTGGCTAAAACTTTCAGAGAGCTTTAATGTTAAAGAAACTCTAAGCTCATGCTTACATAACAGAAGCTTTGTGCCCTCAACCTTATCTAGCTGAGAAGCAAGCTAAGAAAACTTCCTGACCTTCAGATAAAGCCAAAGAATAAAAGGAAAAGTACTAATTTCCTATGGAGGACTTAAAGGCCACAGAAAGTAATACACTGGGAAGCTCTTCCAAAGAACCAGGGGCCACCATAGGGAAGAGGACCCTCCAGTGAATGCCCAGTGGGATTTTGGAAGTGCTACGAGCTGCTGACTGCCAGCTGTTGCTCCTCTTTCCTTTCTGAATGGGAGTGTTATTATGGAATCTGTTAGACACCGGATTTGGGTGTAAGTCTCTAATTCACTCCTGGACCTGAGGTAGAGTCTAGTACACATTATGCAAAAATCCTGGACTTGGAGTTTGATGGTATGTTGATGGGACATTTGCAGGGACAGGGAAGGGTGTCTCCTCCTGGGTAAAGGATGAGTCTATGTGGTCTGCAGAAAGGAGAGTGAATCACATTTTTGGTGATTGGAAGGACAAACTTAAGCCATATTTTTACCATCTGTTTCTGACTTTCTACTATCTGGGCACATGGAAAGATTATACTTCTTGTTTAATAGAGTGAGATGACAAGTTCTAATCAATGAACGGTTGGTGTTGAGGGGCACTTTACTACCCCAACAAAACCCTCCAGGGCCTCTGACAGAATGATTAAATGAGGTAATATACAAAAGCAGTCAATAAATATTAGTTATTGGGCCAGCGGGTAGCTCACTGGTTAGGGCAATGGATTCCCACACAACTGACCGCAGTTTGGGTCCCAGACCCAGTGGCTTGAAAAATCACAACAAATAAAAAGATAAATACATAAATAAATGTTAAAAAATTGAAAATAGTAGTTGTTGGTTAATATAGGAATGGATCTTATTTTCCCTAAAATGCCAGATCTTGAGATACCAAGTTACTGTTTTAGACCCCACCGCTCACATGGTGCCTCATCAAACTTAAAGAGCTGTTAACCTCTAAATACTATCAGTGATCAAGGATCTTTAGCTGAGTAGTTCCTTGATTGAAAACTATTTTTGACATATTGGGTCATTGGGAAAGTCAAGATGTATTTTTGCATAGAAAAACATGTCATGACTTTCCCAATGACCTAACAGAACTAATATTTTGTGGCAGCCAAACTAAGCATGATATTTTCATACAAATTAAATCGCATAATTTGGCCACAGAGCCCTCTGATATCTAAGTAATATTTGAAGACAAAAGCAGAATTTCCTTTTTACTTCTTTTTTTCCCCAGACGTGAAAAAGAAGACCTTTTGCTAAGACATGATTACCTATTCAAAACACTATCTTGAAACTCTTGCTTTAAGAAGTGGTCAAAGTTTCATTCAGATTTAGTGCGTTACAAAAACCGTAGAGTCAGAAATATTATTGCTCAGTGGAGGCACAATAAAGAAGAGGCTGTGCAATAAACTACGTGGTGCCTAAGCCTCCTGCTATTCTGACACCATGTTAATACTGATGCAAATTGACTGGGGTTTCAGTGCCTGGCAGTCAGGGCTCTGGGAATATTGTCCCCCCCCACCCCCAGTTCCTCCTCTGCTGCGCCCTGCCATTAATCACCACTTGCCTGTCTCGAGATCTCCCACGGTTTGGTCACGGCTCCAAGGTCACAGGCTGTCATTAACATTGATCTGAAAAACAGAACCAAACAAAACAGCCTGAATAATCTTTTGTTGCATTCCTAAACAAACCCGTCCTAGATACATAAATAAATAAAATGGAAATAAGGCCCGCTCACATCTTCCCTTCCTCAACAAGGGGCAGCTCTGTTTACCGTCCCTGCGTTCAGCATCTCCATCATGTGGCCACATTGCTCAGGAAGACAAAGCGCTCACACAGCCTCCGGTGGCCCTTTTGTTTTGTCTGCAGCAAATCAAGGAAAGCAAAGCACTGCTTTCACTCTACCTGAGCTAAGCAAGGCCCGTTTAAGATCGTTTCTAAGGGAGACTGTTGGTTGTATTTATTTATTTATTGTAATGATAAGCGAGGGAATCAGTATGTAACACTACATGGCTGATGAATCGATTTTCCATCTTATCACTGACTGATGGGAACAGAAGGAAACCCACACCAAAGCAGCAAGGCACGTGCCACGTAAGGAGCGCCTCCATTTTCGTCTGCTCCACAGAGCTGAGATTTATGGGTGAGAGCCACACCGTTTCACTCCAGTTTACAACCTGGCTCCAACCATGTTTTATAAGCACTATGAAAAGCAAGTTATCGTTTTCATTAATTTGGGTACCTAAAAAAAGAACACAAATTATTTGAATCAGATATTTTAGGGATAGCTTTAACTAGAATTCACACTGAACTCTGGAATCATGGGGAAGAATTGAAATTGTAGATGGTTCTGGTGCTTATCACTTGATGTGGTAGGAGGAGGAAACAAACATAAGGCACACACTTTGTCCCAAACCTCCCTTCTTTGTGCTAAAACCAGCAGGACCGGAGCTGGGAAACCACATTTGGCTAACTGCTTTTGGAAGAAAGGGGTGTGTTGGTAAAGGTCAGAGGGCTGTCCTGATGTGGGGTGTGTGGTTTCCTGTGGGTTGACTGCCTTCAAAATGTGTCTGCTGCCCAGATGGCAGAGCATACCTAGGTGGTAGAAAGGCTTGTGTAACTTCCCCAGGAAACTCCTCCAGGGAACGAGGTAGAGACTCAGACAACAACAGGCCATTCAAAGCACAACCAGGCAGTACCAGCAACAGCCCTTTTCGACTCCAGCAGCATTTAGGAAGCATCTGATTCCAAACATCCTGGTGTGAAGCACCACACAAAGACAGACGCGCCAGTCTCTTCATTTTTTATCTTCTGTAACGAGCCCTTCCATAGTGCTGGCTGGGTGTCTGAGACTGTACTCAGTGCTTTTCTAACTAAATGACTCCTCATCACAGCCCTTAGAGGTAGGTGCTATTATTCTTTTTTTTAACATATAAGTAAACAGAAGCATGGAGAGATTAAACAACTTTCTCAAGGTGAATAAAAGATTTAGGATTCTGTGCTTATCACAAAGCTATCAGACCCCCTTAGACTATATGCCAATGCTTCTCATTTTAGGTCCTCTCGGTACTCAAAGGAGACAAGACTGTGACCAATGGATCAGCTTCTGCAATGACTCTCTTAGAGAGGAAATAATGTTCTGAGGTTGCCTGTTTGTATCCTAACTTGGATCATGACTTAGGTTCTATCTGATCATTTGAAATGAACTTCTCAAATTCATACCACCATTTACCAGTCAATCAACACAGTTATTGGATGTCTGCTAGGTGCTCAGATGATGACAATCCAGTGGCTAAATTTGGGTGGGTAGCCACCACT